CACACTGCATGCAAATATAACAAGACATACCCGGCTATGTAGGTTACGGTTACTAAGGCTAATAATATACAAAAGATAAAGGAATTGGTGTAATCAGGATGTTAAAATAAGCACACACACACAAAAAAAACCTCACCTTTCAAAGATCACCAACAACTTCACTCAGCAATAGTCACGGCACAGTAAACATGATCCGAAATACACAGGTCACATGACTAAACTGTTTTGAAAAGCCTTGGTCATGTGACTAAAGCAATTCAAAGCATCGATCATTTCAGTAGTTTCGAGATATGGGGTCCGTTCTTCGTACGTGGATTACTCAGTTAGCTGGATTTGGATATTGACGATTTGACACGATCCAGGATCGTTTCGTTCTTCAAAGCTGATTCGAGAGTTGTCGTCATAGCAACAGTTCTGTTAGCTTAAACCTGATCGGGAGCAGGTTCAATTCATATAAACAGGATTAGATCGGCTCAGTTCAAGCAAAGATAATACAGAAAGTATGTTCTGAATTCTGATATTTTCTTACAGTAGTAGTTATATACACTTGGGAAAAGAGTAAATATTTTTTAAACCATATATAAAGGTATAGTTATTAATAAAATAAATATATATTAATAAAACGTATGCAATCTGCATTCTTGAAATGAAAGTACAAAGACTGCCACCTGGTGGTGCAAAGAGAAAACGTAGTGATATGAACTTTTTAGATCGCTTTAGTACAAATTGTGTATAATAGAAATGCAGAATATGTGACTTTTTTTAAAGCAATAATACATTTATGCAGTCATAAACATGTTTTGATAGTTAATATGACGGTGATTTGATGCTTCACAAAAGTTGCAGACGCCTTTACCAACATCAAAATGCTTTTGTAAACAACCAGTTATTCTTTACACAGATTAAAAAACGGCTACTATAATAAAGAAAATCTTTTCTAAATGTGGAACTAAATACATTGATTTGCATTGAAATACATGATGAATACTCTTGTCTTGACAAATGAAAGTGTAAAGCCTGCAGCTCAAAACAAATGTGGAAAGTTCTTGCGTGTCATATTTAACAAGCCGTTTACTGCTAATTTGATGTAATTTTGCTCACATGGATAATTGAATATTAATCAGATGATGTCATTACGCTGCTGTGCCGTCAGCCAATCGCTGCATTGCTGATCATGATTTCGAGGATTGATAGATCTGTCCTTCACAACACACGCAGCGATCTCAGATCAGTTCATCCAGACATTCTAATCTGATTAACAAACTTGTTTGAATAACCAAATTAGCGAGAGATCAGTTATCAAGATGAAAAGATCCAGGATCTGCCAAATCATCTTAGATCATTTAAGCGAGGTACGAAGAACGGACCCCTGGCAGATCGTGCGTGTGCATATAGAGCAACTGTGCTGCAAATGTCCCGAGTTCAAATACTGACTTGTACAAATATTCTGAAATTATGACGATGTATTTTAATAATGTTCCTTTTTATGACCAAGACAAGACATATTTGTTTACGTGTGCATTCAGATATCAGACCAATGTTAAAACAAAACGTGTTACAAGAACAGAGCATTTAAAAATGACAGCTGCATCCCCCTGGATTGAACCCATTATCTCTGCATGCTAGTCTGGAACTCTCACTGCTTGACTAAATCACTTGAAACCTCAACTCTTCAATGTGGGGTTTAATACTTCAATGTGTGTAACTGTTTCTTTGCTGAAGCTATTTCATAACAATAGATAAAAATGACCACTGGGTGTCACTAGAGACAAAAGCTTTGACACATTTGCTTTGGCTGTTTCAGTGTTTTATGAAGCCACGCTCTGAACACCTGGGCCCGGTTTTTCAAAAGGTTTAATCCGGATAAAATTGATCCGGATTTAGTAATTCTGTTTTTGCGATCCGTGATCATGTAATCCAGCTTACTTTTTAAGCCAGTTTTTCAAAGCAACATTGGATTGGATCAATCTGATCCGGATAGGAACTTTTCAGGATCACTAAATCTGGATTACCAGTGCTCAATCACAATGTAGATGGATAGATAGGCCTATGTAAACAGCAACAAGTAAAATAGTCAGTGTGGGTTAAATATAACTTTATTTTTTATTAGAAATGAAAGCCCACATTTAAAAAAAACAATAAAACCCCACCCCATCCTCTTCCAGCAGTCCGTTTATCTGAAACCTACAACACTGTACATTGAGGTATTTATAATAAGCTACAAATATAGATGTAAATTTAAAAAAAATGTTAATGTCAAAAACTCCACAATAATTTCAGACTTCCTCATCTGATATGGAGAGAGTAGCTTGTCTGAGCAAAGCCGAGGTGAATCTCAAGTCTGGCCTTGGTTTGCTTTTGAAGGCAGCAAATCTCAAATCTGCCATTCTTTGCATTTTCTTGGTTATTCTGTAATCATTGCATGCATCACTAATAAATATTCTAAAAACAAAAATATTTTCCATTGTGATGAATATATATATATATATATATATATATATATATATATATATATATATATATATATATATATATATATATATATATATATATATCAATTAGTGACTGAATAAAATGTATTGTTTCTGGTCAATTTTGCCAGCTGTTTGCTGTAGGCCTATACTGAAAGCCTAAATATGTTAAAGCCAATAATCACTACAGCCTGACGGATGAACAAATAAAATTAAAACCTTATGAATAAACAGTATATCTCGTAAGATACTGCATGATCCAAAAATAGTATTATTTCATACATTTTTAAAGTTTTCATTACATTTTGGGCATGAAATCCACACTAAATCCACCCTTCTGATGGGATCAGTTTAATCCAGGTTTTTTGGATCAAAGTGATCCAAATCCTACAAAAAAGATCTGAAAAACCCAAACTAAAGGTTTGACCGGATCAAAACCAAGATTAGATTACGTGGTCTAATCCAATTAGGTAATACGTTTTTTCTTTTGAAAAACCCATTTTCAAGATTTGATCCAATCCCTTATCCAAAATCCTAGTGGATTACTTTTGAAAAACCGGTCCCTGGATTTACAGCACATTTTCTTAATGTCATTGCGCTGTAAGGATTCGCAACATGAGTGCTGTCAAAGCGATGAGGATCTTTTTCTAATGTGCTGGTGTTTATTGTAATGCATGTGTTTTCTTAAATTGCAGCACAACCACCGTACATATAAGTGCCAATATAAAATCAACTTTACCTAGTTTTAAATCCTCACATGTGATATATGTGACATTTATAATTCTCTCTCATTTGCTCACAGGAATCTCACAATATCTACAAGAGCAAAAAGAAGAAATGGATTTGTTTAAAAAGCTAAAGGATGTTCCCGATCGGCTGAATGAAGCTGCGGGCGGCGTGAAAGAAGCTGCGAATAAAATCGCTGATGTTGCTGACAGCATGAATAACGCCGGTGATAAACTCAGCAAAGCTCTGCCCGGGAACAAAAAGTCCATAACGAAGACATCCCAAAAATTCATGCAAGGCATTACAGGACGTTTCAAGTAAAACCTGTATGACCGCAAAAAGAACCAACATCTGATTATATTGTAACTACTATAGAATTCATTCATTCATTTTCTTTTCGGCTTAGTCCTTTATTCGTCAGGGGTCGCCATAGCGGATTGAAACAACAACTTATCCAGCATATGTTTTACACAGTGGATGCCTTTCCTGCTGCAACCCAACACTGGGAAACACCCATACACAGTCTCGCGCACACACTCATACACTACGGCCAATTTAGTTAACCATTTGCCATATACACTGAGAAATAAAGGTACGAGAGCTGTCACTGGTGTGATACTTTTTCAAAAGGTACACATTTGTACTTAAAAGGTCCATATTGGTACCTCAAAAGTAAATATTAGTACCTACAAATTTTAAGAGGAAGACTTTTGTACTTTTTAGGTACTAATTTGTACCCTTCAAGTATTAATATGGACTTTTTAGGTAGAAATTTCTACGTTTTGAAAAGGTACAACCCCAGTGACAACTTGCATACCTTTATTTCTGAGAGTGTAGCGCATGTGTTTGGACTGTGGGGGAAACCGGAGCTCCTGGAGGAAACCCACGCAGAACATGCAATATTCCACACAGAAATACCAACTGACCCAGCCGGGGTTGTGCTATCAAGGCAATCGTGCCACCCACTGTGCCACCGTGACACCCATTATATAATTTATACTAATTATAATTTGTTAACTTAATTACTGTATATTTACTTGGTAGCAACTCACTTTAAAAAAAAATTATTTAGCTTACCTATTGCTTCTTCATTAAAACTGTGGCTTTGAAATGTACGCTGTGCATGGATGCCATGTGAGCATTTCATTGTTTTTGATCTGAATATGTAATGTATATCTTGATAAATGACAAAAATAAAATGCTTTCTGTATTAGCAATGTGAACGTGTATTTTCTTTTATTCGTTCTACAGTTTTATTTTTAATTACAGTTGATAATTTACTGACGTCAGGAAAAGATGGAGCGAGAACTGAACAAAACATGCAAGACGTACCAGGACTAGTGTCTGGACTCTAAACAAGAATTAACAAGACTGGAGTGGCAGTATGCTGACAGTCACTTGGATAAAACACGAGGTGCTTTTTCTTTACTAATCTAGACACATTGTGTACATATTGAATTTGAGACAGAATAAATATGATATTTCCTTCTTTCTTTTCCCTTACTGTATACTATTAAGCTCGATTTCTGTAAGGCAGCAGTTCTGCACAGTTTTGCTCCAACCCTAATTAAACACACTTGATTTAACTAGTCTTGTACACCTTGATTAGTTGGATCAACTGTGTTTGATTAGGTTTGGGGCAAAACTGCAGAGCTGCTGCCCTCCAGAAATCCAGTTTGACACCTATGCATGCTATCAGAAAAAATAAATAAATAAAATTACGAACAGTAATTCCCTTATCAACCGCTAGAGGTCAGCAAAGAAACAGCAAAGAAAACCTTTAAATCAGCATGGTGGTTCATATTTATTGACCCATTTTTGAATTAGTGAACATATAAAGAGGAAATTATCTCACAGATACAACAAACTTCCAATATAAGAAGTGTTAAACAGTTAAAAGCTGACAGTTTTACTAGAGTAAATGATTCTTTAGCTGCATAAAGTTAGCATAGGCTAATTGTTATTTAGCATAATCAGAATGTGGTTATATTTCTCTATCATCCTCAGAGTTGTTTAGGTTTCTAAGCTACTCAAACTTAGACTGAAAGTAATGTTAAACTACGAGAAGGCTCCGGGAGCAAACCTGCTTTTTAATGGACTCACCTAACCCCACCCATAACAGTGACATCACTAGCTCCATTGAGTGCAGTGTGTCCGACATCTCAGCTTGCATCATAAAGGCTGCATCCAGATATTATTGTAAACTATAGACAACATTTAACAGATCACACTCAGACAAGCTCAATAATAACATAAATCCACATAGTATCATTAAACTAATCTGAAACCACAACTATTATTCATTAATTTCCCATGGACACTCATTTGAGCATGCTGTAAATCACAGACTCCTCCACAGTTTCCACATTTTCTTGCCTAAAATAAACAAACACAACACAACAGTGTTAGAGATCATATAATCAGTGCTGGTTTAGCTGATGGTGCTTATGTTAGGAGTGTTTTCATATGGCATTATAATTTTGCATTAAGAGTTCTGCGTATAAAAATTACATTTCAAGGAATAAATAAAAGTAAAAAAATATGAAAAGGAAAAAGTTAAATTAACTGCTAAAAATGAAGAGAAAATAACACTAATAATAATGACTGAAAACACTAGCAATATACACAGTAGTCAATTATTAAAGTTTAAGTCAGTTGTTTAAGTCTTTTATTATTATTATTATTATTATTATTATTATTATTATTATTATTATACATTTTACCCTTTGCCTTATATTCCTCTTCATCAGTCTGTAATGCAATAAATGTTATGCACAACATAAAACCTGTGTTACTATATAAAAGAAATCCAGCCAATCAGATGGCTGCTGTATTGTAACACTGGTTTAATATTGAGCAAGCGAGTTGAGCCTGATGTTGCATGTGCATGAAAGAAACTACAAAAACCTTCAAACTGAGGTTGTCATTTGGTCAAAGTCATTTTGCATGATCAAAACATGATCTTTTGTGTGCAGAATTGTTAATGCACATGCAAGAAGTTATTTTGCATGCTCAAAACAGGATCTTTTGTTCACAGAATTACAGTGTTGAAAATATTACAGCTTGTGTTTAGTGCAGTTGTTGGTGGTCCAGCAGTTTCTCCTCACCTGTGGTCTTGATCAGGCTGCTGAACTGGTGTGTTGTCACACTGACGCTGCTCCTCCTCTTCTTTCTTCTTCGGTGTGTTTTTGTGATATTGGACAGTGGCGTACTGGATCTCCTCAGCATCTCTGCATTCAGCACTTATTCTGGGATTCACAGTTTCATACGGAGTTTCATCGGCTAATCCAGGGTCACAAACTGGATTGTCGTAAACTTGAGTTTTCTGTGGCACATCAGAATACAGATCATTCTGAAACACAAGACAATAAAGCATTCATTAGCATCTGAATCAGTCTGATCAACATTTCAGAAATATTTTATTATTCACACTGCAATTAGAAGCAGAAAGATGTGAGATGGGATGTAAATAAACTGAGGATTTTCACATCATAAAATCTAAAATAGATCATAAATTTTAATCACACAAAGGAAAAAATGAGTTTAACTGATTTTAAGGTTGTATCTGTATGATTTACCTGCGTCACTATGAGACCTTCAGATTTAGCACTCCTTTGTTTCTTTCTGTAATAATAACACACATTAACAGAGGATTTATCACTCTAATAAATAAATGAAAATAACATGCATATTAAAAAACGTTACAAATAATCAAACATGAATTCAACACAGGCTCATTGGGAATATGTGCCCAGGGCTACAGTTTTGCAAACTATGAAATATGTGTCTGCGGGTACAACGGCCTGCATTTAGTGTGAAAACACTATCAATATGTGGCGATATGTCATTGGAGACAACTTCTGTACCCTTTTTGTGTTACTGCTGACTGATCACCTCCATATGGACAGCTTTTCCAGGATGGTCAGTGTGCTTGGTAGCTCACCTTGTACAGTGTTGTAGTAGAGTGGACCGGGGTTCAACCCAGTGTTTGACACTTCCAAAAACCAAGTAAAAAAACAACAACATTGTGTTGTTGTGGTTAAAGCATGAGTTTGTGATGATTTTCTCTTCTAATTTGCTTTTGAAAACACTATCGGTTGGGTTTAGGAAAGGGGGTATGTGGATTATAGACGAATTTGAGAAGGATGTTGAGGTTTGCAGAAATGTACACATATTTACAAGAACGAATATGTTTTATAAGAAAACATAGATCAGAAATGTATTTGAGGTTGTCAAAAATGTATACAGCGCCCTCTAGTGGATTTGTGAAATCAAAAACTGCAAGCAGACGAAGACCTGGATAGATATCTTGCAGTTCCGAAAACGTAGCCCTGGGCACATATCTCCACATGGGATGCATGAATTTGCATATTTGACTATAGCAGATATTTTAATTGAGTTAAAATAAAATAAAAAATAAATTTTGTTTCATTGAACTCACATAATAAACAGGACGATGATGACGATGATAATGATGAAGATGATTAATACTCCTACAGATGTCGCTGTGATGATGATGTTTCTCTCAGCATGTTCATGAACTGAAAGATGAAGCAGATCATGATTAAGTCTCCAGACTGATGAAGTTACAGGAGTGTGATGATAAAAGCTTCACCAGTGACAGTGACGGCGTCTGATCTCTGAGCTCCATGTGGATTGTGAGCCTCACAGTAGAAGCGTCCACTCTGTACTGCACTGAAACTCTGTCCAGATCCAACAGCTGAGCTTTGATTCTCCTTAAACCAGTTGAAGCTCAGAGCAGGAGGGTTTGAGTCACTGATGCACATCAGACTCACTGAATCAGAAAAAAGCTGACCAGAATCAGTGACGGACACTGAGACGCTCCTGGGAGGATCTGAGACAGAAAAACACTGATATCATGAATGCGTACAACAAATATGGCATCACAGTTTACTTAAGAAGATTTAAAAAGGACCCTTTTTACAAGAAGTAAAATAAGTGTCTGATGTCCCTAAAGTTTAGTTGTAGATGTGTTTGAAAGCAACTCGTAAGATTTTAATGATATTTTGGCAAAGTGAATGACGTGACTCAAAAAAGAGATTCATTCATCTTGCTGGAGGAGACTTAAAGGTCTGAGTAAAATCATCTGATCTTCCCATCACTAAGAAAGCTTCTGTCAGTCTATGTCACTCCTGTCACTGTTCATTTGTGCTTCATCTAAAACTCAACATCTATAATCCTCTTAGTCTATGCTGACATTATCTTCAGCAGCTCAAACACTCTAATGGCTAATGGACAGACGGCTGCTTCTCACTCAGGGCTGCTGTTTATGCTAATGAGGGAGAGATGGGCACTAGTGGGCGGGGATTCCCCCCCTCTGATGACACGTACAAAGGGAGAATGTCAATCAAAGTGCTTCTGCAGACTGACTTTATCAAGTCTGATTATGACAAACACAAATAATTCATTATTAATTTTAGACGCTGGCTATATTTACACATTTACACGGGCTATATTTAAACAACTGTCTGACCTTTTTCATAAAAGGTCCCCCGTAGTATATCAGTTGCTGAACCATTATTTACTCACATTGGACATCTAAAGTCACAGGATCAGAGTATTTCTCTCCATACTTATTTTTGTATCTACACTTGTATTCTCCACTGTCATCAGAGCTGATCTTGGAGATGTTGAAGATTCTTCCAGATCTTACAGATGTTTCTCCTTTATACCAGTTGATTTCTGCAGGAGGGTTTGAGTCGCTGCTGCAGCTCAGAGTCACTGAATCTCCAGACATTATTACAGCAGATCTGTTCATAGACACTGAGATGTTCCTGGGTGGGTCTGAAAAACAGAAACACAAACTGTTAACAGTCATAATAGTTTTGACATCACAGATCATGTTTTAATGGTTTAATGTCATAGTTTTTCTAACTCACACTGGACATCTAAAGTCACTGGATCAGAGTATTTCTCTCCATGTTTATTTCTGGCTCTACACTTGTATTCTCCACTGTCATCAGAGCTGATCTTGGAGATGTTGAAGATTCTTCCTGAACTCAGAGATGTATTTCCTTTAAACCAGCTGAAGTTTGCGGGAGGGTTTGAGTCACTGCTGCAGTTCAGAGTCACTGAATCTCCCTCCATTATTACAGCAGATCTGTTGGAGATCACAGGAGTATCTGGAGCATCTGCAGGAGAAACATAGATAAAGACAAATAAATATGACCATCAGTTTATGTATGTACTGTATACATCATACTAAAAGAGCTGCCCATTGTTTTTGTATTGTTTTTTTATATTCTTAGAATTTTTAATAATAAGGTAATGGTATGCTAATAAGCAGATGATAGCAGATAATAAACATTTGCAATTATTTTAAGTTGTTGTTGTTTTTGAGGTTTAAAGTAATTTAAGTAAATGGTCATGAAACATTTATAATCATAAAAAAAACACACTTTATGAATATGAAGGAGATTTTATGCATGTTTAAGACTGTCATTAAGAGTCATTTGCTTAGTTATGTCATTTTAAATGCTAAAATATATGCAAAGCTAAATATATAAACAAATTAAATTCCAAATTTGAAGCTGATATCACCAAAAATCAGTTTTCAGTAAGTTTTTGTTCAGCTGCAGTACCAGACATGACCACGGGATTTCCATTGGTGACCACACAAGAGCGCCCCCTTTGTTTAAAGAATATTTCACAAGTCTACAATGTAAAAAATTATGATCAATTAGTCATGACAGCACATGTTTTTAGTTCATTGTAACTTTATAAACTAAGTTAATCATTTTCTAACTTAATTTTATAAGTTACGCAGGCTGTTTTAAGTCAGTTTAACATAGCATAAGTTCAATGGACTTATAGGGCTAATTTGATTCAGCTTTAAAATTTAAGGCAAACAATATTTTTTAACAGTGTAAAGTAGAATGTTATTGTGGGTGGCATTTGATTTGAATTTACTTTCTAAAAAACATCTCAAAACATTTAACATGTAGATTGCTGTAGCAAAGTAATGCTTTACAACTCTGACAAGTATCATTGTTGCAATCAATAAATAACTGTTGCTCAGTAACATTAAAAATCAGTCACTAAATATAGAAACTACAAGCATTAGGCTTTCAAATGATATATACCTGTAGTTTGTCATGATTGCTTCATGTTTACTAAAATATTACAATATTAATAATGCAGCCATAAATGCTCCAACAGGTTGTAAGGTGACAGTAAATGTGTTTTAATGACTCTTCCTTTGTAACAAAACCCCAAAAAGCAGAAGTCCAAGACCTTTTCAATGATAGTTTTTCATGAATACATTAGGATTTATTTGCAAAAAGGAATGTAAACTTAAATGTTAGAGTGCAGGGAAAGTGGCAGGGCCTGATCACTTTATATGTGTATTTTCTAATCGTATAGCTGTATGATTTGTCAAAACGTTTCCATTTACTTGACCACGTAAATGAATCTCTGTTAAATGGATATAGTTCTGCTCTTTAAATCCAGCGCTATGTGCAGATTTACCAGGTTAAGTCAAATAAAGCATCTGATACTTTTTATTCATATTTTTTATTAGTACACCGGAGAATTTATATTATTATTTACAGAAGAGTACAAGCTATATCTATATCTATCTTATTTTTATTTCTGAATCTATCTTATTTTTATCTTATATTAAGCTATATCTTATTTTCGGGGGTACTGAATCTCGCTGCGGGTCGGAGGGAGGAGGAGGGTTGTCAGTTTAAGACCCCTGCTCTAGAGTGTGTATGTTTTCTAACTCTCTGAAACTGACCCTTTTAGGCTTTGATCCTAATTGTGTTGTTTTGTTGACTGTTCACTGTAAAAAATTTCCAGGTTTTCACAACAAGTTACTGTAATTTTTCACAGTAAATTACATTAGTATCCCTTCACAGTATTTAACTGAAAAATTCACAGTAATATGTTGTATTCATAATTTTATTGTGAAATAACGGCAGGTAGCATGATTACAGCCAATTACTGTGAAAAGGGCTATATCTTTTGCACGTTAGTTATAGAAATTCAAACCTTTTTTTAACTCAACGTAGAAATTAATACAAATGAACTTTTAACAGATAATAACAGAATGTTTTTAGCCCCAAAACGATTTGGTTACCAACATCTTTTTGGTTGTACTGCACCTTTATTTAATTTTATACAGTTAACATAGAATAGGAAAGAATATTTAATGAACAACTGTGTGCTTAGCCAAAACATAATAAACTGGAATAAAAAGTAATTAATTAATGAAACCAAAGACTGTTAAACAGCCAACAATTATTTCAATGTCAGGGTAAATGTCTGCTTTAGACGGTTTCATGAGTATTGGGCACCTGTCATCGCCTGGAGGTCACTAAACTCAGAATTAAATATATATATAAATTATTATTATTTTTATCTATATAAATAAACCACAGATTAGAGTTTTAAACAACTACATTCTAGCATGAAAAACAGTTAAAACTTCATTTTCGGACGCATATAGAGCCATCGAAGACGGGGCAATTGTCCCATTGTCTAGCCTGAAGACAGGCGCCTCTCGGCGGATACATGAGTAATGAGCGCCGTTACCGCCTGGAGGTCATAGATCTCCGCTACCGGCAAAACACACTTAAAATTACACACAATCTTTACTAACAATTCACAGATTTGTGTTTTGAAGAACTACATTCTCGCATGAAAAAGTGTTAAAACTTTATTTCATTACATATTACAAGCACTATTTATAATATTATGTGCCTTCTCATCCACCATTACAGCTTGATGCAGCTTGGTGCGAAATGAATCCTGGGAGGAAAAAATAATAATTCTCAATACACTCAAACCGAACTTTATTCTTATTGTTGAAGTCAGAAATATGTAATATTTTGAATGGCGAAGAAAATAATTAACTTTATATTTCAATCAATATATTACTTTTGCACTGCTTCGGTTCAGGACTCGTGTGACATTGAATCAGATTCAGATATTTTATCAGACGTGTTCATGAGCTCATAGTCATCAACAAGCAATTCGTGTTCAAGCAGTACACGAACCAAGCAATATGATGAAATATTAATGAATTATATGTTTGCGTCTTACAATATTATACAAAACGGAATCGTTTTCAGGCGAATTCGACTCTTTACTGTTCACTTAAAGGAGCCGAATTCGACTCTTTACTGTTCACTTAAAAGAGCCGATTCATTGAACAGAACTGACTCGACTCGAACGCAAACAAGCGCCATCACGACAACGCCTGCGTCGTCTCTTCACCCAACGGATTCATCCTCGGTAAGTGTTTAAATATGACTTTTGTCCGTTAAATGATTGTTGTATGTGTATTTCTGTATAGGGCATGTCATTTAACAGGAATTTACCGAGTACTTTAGTTGTACTCGCACGTACAGGGTTTAAGCGCGCCTTTTTTTAAAACAAGAAATTAACGACGCCAGATGGTGATTGTAGTGTTTTCTGAGGTAACTTGTTATTAGCATAACGTTAACGTTAGTTCCTGAAAAAAAAGGAAATTTTCTTTAATTAACTTCTTGTTAACTGCATTTTCTGTTTCAGTACAAGACTGAAGTAAAGGTGAAATGACTAAAGTTAAGGTAAGCTCTGACCTTCACTTAAGTTAACGTTACGGTTACGTTAGTCACCATCATGTACGTTAATTTTGTTCACTGTAACGTTAACGTTAAGTTAGTTAAATAAACTAAACTCATTATGAAACAAGTCTTAACTGTTTTATTAAATGAGGCTTATAATACAATTCAGTTGTATTCTTTTAAACTAACACTAACACAGTACATATTGTATATTTCTCACTGGTGTTAATGCATTGCTAACATTTACTAATGAGAACTAATTGTTTATGTCACTAACTGTAACGTAGACTAACCATATTCCGTACACAACGATGTTCCGTACAGATGACCTTTTAACGTTAATCTCTGAATAAATACTTATGGGTCGTAGGCAAGCTATATATCTGTGTAATCTTTAATTCTCACTCTTTCAGCCCCAACCACAACAGAGACATTCCTACTATATGTTTCCGAGTAAAATCAGTAAGTTTGCTACGTCCACCTAATGCGCTTGAAAACAGAAAGTGGGCAAGCTTAAAGTGCGAGTGTCGCCTGGGAGGGGAGACATTTAAAGCCCCGACAATATGCTTTTGCATTTAATTTATGCATCACACAGTATTACAGTCTTTATGAAGTGAATATTATGTTATCACAAATTGTTAAATAAATTATCTTTTGTTAAATAAATGCTTTGAAATGGGGATGTTTAAACATCAATTGTGGGTAAATACCGCATGTCGCAACTCTCCGCCTGAGAGACAGGCTGCAAACGCTGTTTGGATCCTCCTTTTGCAGTAATGATGTTTATATTCATAAAAGGTCAGTCAAGTTAGCTTCAATGTGCATGAATTTAATGTTTTTATATTTTGAATTGTCATGCTGTAATAAAATAAACATGATATAAAAAGTAAATGATTTTGAAGCTATTTCATTTAAAACTTTCATAAAAGAGTTATTTAATATATCATTAACTTCAAGTTAAACACAATAATAGTATATTCTGACATAAGAATTTAATAAGACTTCAAACAATGGCCATTTTTGCCAGTAAATTAAAGTTATGCGCCCTGTACGGAACACTATTTTAGTCATGTACGGAACACCGTTAATACCTATCATCTTCCGTACACATGCGAAGGCGGTACTTATCCCATCTTTTCTCAAAAACTACTGGTCCAAAAGACATCAATCAAGATTTGGATTGTGCAATAGGTATTCCCCCAGAGAATGAACACACAAGCATGCTTATCTGGC